GCTTTTCCCTCTAGCCTCTGCATCCTGACCGGCTCTGGGGCCCACCCAGCCTCCTCTACATTGGGTACCGGGGTCCTTTCCCCGGGGAGTAAAGTGCTGCCGGGGTGTGATGCTGTCCACCTCACCCCCATCTAGTGCCGAAAGGTCAAGAAAGAGAGGAGCTATACCTCCACTCACCCCAAGCGCCTGTATGGCTCAGAACGGGATAACTTTACTTTTACTTTACTTTGCGATGGATTATTTGTTACTTCCATAAACTTTGTTTTCTCATGGTTAATCTAAAGTCCTATTTGTTTTGCAGATATTTGAAGTTTCATGAAAGCTTGTTTAACAGCTCTTTCATATCTCCAATAATCACTGTATCATCAGCATAGGCTGAGATTTGTACCGATTCATGCGGTATTGTGCCTCTAGTATCATGTCTTTATATCTGAAGGTATAATTTTGGTGTTCGTTTCCATCGGTATATTTTCGAGCTACAGGATTTCACACACAAGAAACATGAAAAATTAATGTCTAGATTTATCAACCCTTACCCTGCATAAACAGAAAGAGAATTACATAGTTTGACATGCCTGTTTCGTAACCAGCTCCGCCAACTTTACATTAGTTGTGGTCAGAGTGCTGTTTCTTAATGATAGGGTGCCTGAAAAAAAATGCCCATAAGACAGTAATTATATTCCACATATCTGTAATTATGAACAACAAAATTATTTACATTATCCTGACATTTCTTAATCTTTTAAGGGACCATCATCAGAGGTACATTGACAGTATTTTGGTTAATACAAAAATCTTTCCTGTAATATTCTTTCCACCTACAAAATTAAAATCACCTAAAACAGTGGTATTCAAACTTTTTTGATTGCGTACCCCCAGATATAATTTTTCTTCAACTGCACTGCTATATGGAAGTGAATTTTGGACATTGAAGAAAAGAGACAAACAGCAGAAATGTGATTTTTAAGATCTGCGAAGGGATGTACAAGATTAGACAAAATCAGGAATGAAGATATAAGAAAAGAGGAGTTTTTTCAATTAATTACAGAATAAGAAGACACAAACAAGATTGGCTAGAACATGTAGAAAGGATGGTAGAAGGACAAAAACCAAACCAGGCCCTTTGGTATAGACCCCAAAGCAGTGGCAACCCACCCATAAGAGCTGCAGCACCCCGTATTTTGAAAAATTTATATAATTTTTAATACTTTATTTCCTCTATATCATTATTTTAATATTCCCCCTTACGTTGTCATTGTCCACTAATCGGCTGAACTTACAGTAAGTCCACAGGCGAGGAGTGCGAAGCAGAACGGGGCTATCATCCGGCTGCAAGGATTTCAGTGCGGCTGGCAGGTCAAAGGTAGCGAGCGCGGTGGGTGGTGGAGTGAGGGGCAGTTCACTGGTACAGTGCATATCAGGGCTGCAGTCCCCGCAGCCAGCTTATAGTAAACATGCTTGCCCGGTACTACGTGCGTTAGACTGGTTTCTGTATCACAAACTACTATACCTACACCCATTCATATCTACCTGATCTGACTACGCTAATGAGAGGAGTATATCATTCCCTTCATATGTATATTTTAAACTTTCTTCAATATAACGCATTTGCCCCCCAAAAAGTAGTTGCTATGACTTGTGAAATAACCCAGGTACATAAGTTTTGTAACTAGATGTTGGTGTATCTCAAATGCTACAGAGGTAGAGCAAATTGTTTCAGCTTTTTATCTTCATATAACTTTACTGTCCATAAAGTAAGAACACGTCAGAATGGCAAACACAAAATGCTTCCTAAATGTGTTCCATTGATACTTCTGAATAACACTGTTTATTATTTTATTTGAAGTCATACAAAATTAACCAATGTCATCACGGGGCCGGATCTGAGCAAATCCCTTATGGATGCTTGTCTTATGAGTGCCAGAACTGCACCATAAAAATTCACAAGTACCAACAGTGGATTGAGTTCCAGTTGCAACTGCAGAAGGGCATAGCGCTTCTCTTCATCCATGAGATGTGACTGAGTGCGGAAGAAGTGCCTTGCAGCTGCCATATCTTCCACTGTGACAACACAGGGATGGGCATCCAACTTCTTGGTCACTCGCACACTATGTACCATGCTGCCAGTTAGTGTTTGCTTGACCCAAGGTACAAGTGCCTCCACCTCACTGTGCTTGACACTATCTGCTCCTGCAACACATAACCAGAGAGTAGAAGTTTAACTGCATGGTTCTTATTAAGAATTTACAACACAGTCAACTCTTGGTTTACGAACGAGTTCCATTCCAAGACGTTGTTCGTTATGTGTATATTCCATTCCTGAGCTTTTACGATACATATCTTATACGTTGGCAGCCATTTTAAAGCAAAAAAACCATGTACTAAACATCGAGTGGTCTATAAAATGTTTTATTATAATGTATGTATGCGTTATGCGAGAAAACATTCTACGCGGCATGGCATTTAGACCATTCTTTTACTGGCTAGATTAGTTTTATTAACCAAGAACAGTTCAGTATAATTATCTGATAATTATTGTAATAAATACATTTTTAAAAGTTTATTTCATTCTTACAAATATGTTCACTAAACGTTTGGCATTTCATTTTATTAGGAACTCTATCTATTGCTGACTTCAAGGAATTTTGAATGAATTGTGACGTTCGTTATAGCGAATGTTTGTAAACCGAGAGTTGCCTGTACTGTTATAACAGCAAGAACTAGTGACCCTATTGTCCTTCAGATACTTCCATCTAAACAGGTACCAACAAACACTATGAAACTCAATAATTTAACTCCGAAAAAATTTCAGCTACTCAGAAATGAAAAAGATAGTCTATCAAACATAACATGCAAGTACCAGTTATAATTAAACAACTCCATGAATCACAGACCTTAAGAAGCCAACAGTACGTTCAACTAATTAAGAAATCCCTTCAAGCCACTGGTCTTTGTCCTAAGCCAGATCAATCCAGTTATCACCCAATTTCCCAAACATCCATTTTAATATCATCCTTACATCTATGCCTAAGTCTTCTGAGTGGTCTATTCCCTTCAGGCTTTCCAACAAAATGCAACAGACGGTACACAATAAACAACCAAA